AGAGTCAACGACAATATTATTATTTTTTTGGGGTTTTCTTTTCATTTTGTTTGATTTGTTGACAAGTCAACGTAATTATATTCTTGTCGTTCACAGTAACATAACTGTAAACACAATTATATTATTGTCAACTATATCAATATTATTATTTCTTTGAGTTTTTTATTTTGTTTGAGTTATTGACGGAGTAACGTAATAATATTACTGTCTATTATTGTAATATTACTGTAAACACAATATTATTACTGCAGTTTATGGTAATATTACTGTTGTTAAGTAATATTACTGTCAACCACAATAATATTAATTATTTTGGCTTTTTTTTTTATGTTTACCTTTGTTGAACGATCGACATATTAATATTACTCTATTACACAATAATAATGACTTTTGTTGTGTTAATATTACTGTGCTAGAAATTAACATACCAATATTATTGTGTTAAACTGTAGTATAGTTAATTTTATTGTGTTTAACAGTAATATTGTTAATATTACTGTCAACCACAACAATAATGTTGTTTTAACGGGGGGCAAAAAGATGTTAAAGAATTTTTTTTTGAAAAAGTCAACGCCGGAGACCGGCGGAAAAATCAGGAAGAAAAAAAAAATTCAACGCCGGAGACCGGCGGTTGACGGACGAAATTGCCCATAAAATTTTATTTTGGCTCAAAATTGAATAATTTGTGAAATTTGGGGTCAAATTGAGGTTAAATTAAATTAAAGGATAAAATTGGAGTGCTATTAAAGCATTAAAATTTGAGGGGCTATTTTAGATTTTTACAAACCTCTGGACGACTAGACCATGTGTGGACTTTTACATAAAATAGTTTTTTGTCTAGACCCCTTTATGGTACCCATTGATGGGCTTATTTGTAAAGTGCCTATATATGGCAAATAGCAAATAGGCACATGACAAGGGCTTAAATACACATACGTTCAGATAAAAACAGTCTTGCAAATAAACTCATCACCATGTCTTTTGTTCAAAATACCCTCCCATAATATAATTTTCATCAATTCCATCCGTTATGCACTAACTTCATCAATATTGCACACTGACCCAAGATTTGAACAAATATATCACATTAACCCCATTTACATATTTTTTTTCAGAAAATAATATTTTTTCCAACTAGATTCCGGGCGTTGATTTTTTTTTTTTGTTTTTTTGAAACTTTTTTTTCATCTAAATTACTATGTTAACAACAAAATTATTGTCTGAGATAGTAATATTGAATGCCAAAACAGTAATATTACTAATATTACTGTCCCAAATAAGAATATTACTAATATTACTATCCCATTACTATCTCGACCACTAATATTATTTACCTACTACGATAATAACAAAATGATCTAATATAAGAAATCAACAAACTAAAAAAAAGGACTGTATGTAAACCTGTATACATCTATACCCAAATTAACAAATTCGTTGAACATTTTTCAGCATCCAAAATTGTACGCAAATGTAAATTGTCAGCGTCGTAAACATAATCAATGCCAAAATGCGACAACGAATTTCAAAACATAATTGTTCACATGTTGAAATTTCAAACGCCCTAAACATATTTATGAAAATGGCCTTCTGACAAGGACTTTTTGTGTTGATATACGAACCTATGGACTTTAGTGTATATACAAATTTGATTGGTTGTATTACAAATGAAATTTTACTCCTATTTATAGTACGACACCTCCGGAATTAAAGGTGTGACTGAATTAATCCTACGATTCAAAATTTCTTAAACATTTTAATATATAATCACATTCTAGAAGGAAGTATATCAAGAGTTTTCTAGGGAGCTCTTATAAATCTTTATAATTTGTTGACAAATACTTACCTACTAATATCTCACCCGAGAGGTGCACGGAGATTAATTATAATAACAAAATGCTTTAATATAAAAAATCAGCGAACTAAAAAAAGTAAAGTATGTAAACCTGTATACAACCATACACAAATTAACCAATCCACAATATATTTTTTAGCATCTGATGATGCTAAAGTTTAGATCACCTGGGATAGTGTAGAAAACGAACTGGGAGAGCAAAGCGGATCAGTAGCTTGACAACTTGATGATCCTGAGGTCCCTACGAAATAAGCACACGTGAACTAAGCCGGGGGTTGATCCGGCGAAAACCCCTCCGACGCTCAAGTCAGATGTACGGATCTTAGAAATAGTAGAGAGAATATGCACTCTAGATTGTTGGTGAATTATATAACGTACCTTAACAAATGAGTAAAAACATCTATTTATATGTCGTTGATTGGGTTGGACTTACTTTGTTGGGCCCAAGCCTCATTTTGAAGGTGCTTGGGCTTTCGTGTAGTGGGCCTAATTATTAGATAAATTGGGGCCCATTGGGTTGGCCCAATTAGGTATATCAACATCCATTAACCAATCCACAATATATTTTTTAGCATCCACAATCGTACGCATATGTAAATTGTCAACGTCGTAAACATAATCAACGTCGAAATACGACGACGAACTCGAATAATGGAGTTGAATTAGTCGACCATGCTTATACATCTAGCTGCCAGTTGATACAAACGCAACCTTGATACCATCAGATCTACAAATATAGATTGAATTAAATTTTTATTCGCCAGTATTGTCACCACATGTTCAACGCAAAAATTGGGTTAGAAAAAATGAATAGCGTGTGCATGGATGTACCCTGAACAAACAAAACCTGGTAATCGATTATCCTTGCAAAATATTGAACTCATTGCACATTAACCTAAACATACATGAACTATACTTGTTTAAGTAACAAAAAACAATGCATGTAATCGATAAATGAGGTTTTTGAAGGTGTACCTTTATATTCTTTGAAATACTTCTTTGTACACAACGTTGGTAGTAACATTGGAAATGCCACCCGATTCGGACTTGATCAAGATATTTATTCCAGATCTACTCTTGAATCTAGACAACGCTACATACAATTGACCATGACTGAAAACTGACCTTCAAAGGTACAGTCCGACATGCGATAGAGTTTACCTTTAACTTTAGTTTATTGTCATGGCAAATGAAATAATCACCGGAAATTAACGTCTTTGAAATAATTGGCAACGTTTTGTTCGATGGTGTCAGAGTCATCCAAGGGATAAAAACAATATCACCAGCATTCTCGTCGGAAAGTACCTTGCAGCTAATTACGTGCATGCCCAATGTTTCAACCTGGAGTCTGTTTCCATCGCTTGATCAATGTTTCTAATAAGCATGATTGGAACGACTTTGTTTAATTTTAGCTAATGATTAGGAAGACCGTGACACGATATTGTATTGAGAAACTCCGTCGAATAAATTTAAGCGTTAATCTCGGAACATGCTTCATCCACGCACTCATAAACACCTTTTCTTCGTCTTCGATAAGTGACAATAGAGAATCCTTCACATACACAATGCTTTCATTTGTGGGCCATGGGATGGCCCTCCGCAGAAAGAATCAGGATTCGAAATGTTGTTCAGCAAATCTGGATACCCGAACTGCAGAATCTCTGAAAAGGAATCGCCTGAATCTCGAATCAACATGTCATCGGGGATTTCAATTGAGGCTTCACCATCATTGGAATCTCCTGCTTATTCGTTGTCGATTCTCAATATCTAATCGGCAAATTCTCTTATCTCATCGTTATTAGACGAAGATGCGTTCGACTGAAGCCTCATTATCTTGTGGAACTTCATGGCACGTCATTCCCTCCACAGTGACGACGAATTGATCGTAGCATGTACGGTGTCTTGCCTCGTTGACTTCAATACAATAGGTAGTATTTGCGTGATGTCTCCACCAAGAATGATGACCTTACCACCAAAAGGTTTCTCCAAATTCAATATTGACCGCATTGTTCTGTCAAGTGCTTAAAACAAAACCTACGCGTCATCGGCGTCTCATCCCATATAATAAGTTTTGCTTCAATCAGCAACTCTTCTTGAGGAGTGAGTTGTTTCATTCTTCAAGTGGAGCTCTCATGCACGATTATCGGGAGTCCGAATCTAGAAAATATTTTTCTACCACCTGTTAGGAGAAGTGACGCAATACCAATGCAACATTAATAACAATGGCCTTCTCTGAACGGACATTGGCAGAAAGTGTGCTCCAAATATCTGTCTTCCCAGTTCCACCATGGCCATAGAGAAATAACATACCTCCGCTATTCTTCGACATTGATCCATGGTCATGTCATAATTTTTTTTTTGGTCGTGTGTGATCGAGAATAGGTACTTTTCAAGTTCGGCGCACATTTCAAAGACGTCGTAGTACAGTTCATCCAAAACTAACCTATTCTCCGTGTCATCGGTCGTTGACTGTATCGGCACAGGCATAGGTGCATAGTGACGTAAACTCTTACCATTACTCTATACAATTTTCTCAATCTCAATGAGGGCATAATTCTTCAAGCTGTCGTCCGACAATTTCAACTATGCACATGTTATACACAATGTCAAGTACTATTAACGTCAATTATTTAAATATACAAATAGTATCTGACTCGATTGGTCAATTAAGGCAATGTGAGTAATGTGTTTTTCGCCCATATATATACTTGAATTGTTATAATGCTTTATGTGTCGGTAATTTATGTCATCGAACAGCTCCGACCAACACTTTTCCCAGACATGCTCTAGCATGCTCAAACTATTTGCAACTAAAATTTGAGCAAACAATACTATTGTGCAGAATGTACTCGCCCCACTACACCAAAAAGGGCTTTTTCTAACGGATATATCCGTTACAAATAATTATCCTAACGGCGAAAAACCGTTAAAAAAATGGCGTTAGAAATTGAACGCCAAAAAATTCTAACGAATATATCCGTTAGAAAAATAAAACAATCCGTTAGAAAAATAATTATTTCTAACAATTATTGTCCGTTATAAATTTCATTGTAACGATTCATTTTATAACACTTCTTACTAAGTTCCTAACAGATATATCCGCAAGAAAAAATAGAAAAAAAAATTAAAAAAAAATCACAAATTATGAAAAAGAAATATATTATTTCAAAAACAGGTCACAAATAACAAAATTTAAATTTACATAAAAATAGTCATTCATTACAATGAATTTTCCACTATTCTATAAAGAATTCAACCTAGAGTATCAATATGATCAATATACCATAAACCATTACAACAACATTCATTTACATTGAACAAAAAAAAAATTGTAATTTAAATATAACAGATGAACTCCTGCCCCACCAAGCTTGAACTCAGATGTCCTGATATAAATAAAACGAACAAAATAAATCTAGACCAAATCAACTCACATAATGAAACAAATTATGAAATCAAAGTATAATGAAACTAAGAAACAAAAGTTCTCACCAGTTTATACCCTAATGATACAAAGAAATCAAAGTACAAACTATTCAATGAAAATTCGGAATTAGTTAGCATAAATGTGACATAGATGTAAATACATTAAAAACCAATGCTTTGTTCAATATATATATATATATATATATATATATATATATATATATATATATATATATATATATATATATATATATATACAAACAATTATAAATTATACCTCTATCTTCTTAAGCTCGGCTCCTAGGGTCATTGTCCGAATGTTCTCCTAATCTCCAATAGTAGATATTTTCTTCCGAGACCTGCAAATTATTAGTAAGTATGAGATAAATCAATATTAGCCAAAGTCGGCCTTATCTTTGTTTTTTTTATTTTACAGTAAGGCCTCAATATGTCCTGCATGTTCTAAAATCAAATAACTACATAAATCTATATTGAATTTGAAAAAGAACAGATATCTTCGAGAAACTGCTTACTTGTTTTCTGCTTTTGAGTTCTCACTTTCTTTCCATGCTTTAATCAGAGACAATCTCTTATCTATTGCTACTCGGGAAAGCACAACATCGGTGATAAAATTAATATAATCAAGTATTTTTCGATAGCTCAATACATAATATCAATTTATATCAATTTTCAGCAAAATAAAATGGCATACTAATATACCTATACCTCTGTTTATAGAGCCTCGAGTTTCTTCTCCCCAACTACATCATGTGCTTCTGCAATATATACAGAAAGCATCACAAGTTAGCAAAAGAAATAATCGAATACAATCCATTCAACACGTTAGAGAACCTTTCTAGTACCTTGTGTAATAACACCTCTTAAACCAGGTATATTGAAATGTCCAATTCCTCCCATTCTCTATTGTCGAAAAAAAACCCAAAAAAAACCCAAAAAAAACAAAAAATTAAGTGAAAAAAAATACTAAAATTCTAATATGAAAAGAGAGACTAGAACGAGAAGCCAAAGCAAATGTTAGTGCAAACACCTATTTACATTCACATAATAAGGAAAACCGTGAACCTAAAATTAATGTTGAAGAACATAATTAAAAAATAATAATTACCTGAAATTGTATCAATTGATGTTTTCGTCGCGGTCCTAATCACCCGCCGCTGTAAATTATACAAGGATGGTGTCCAATAGACGATGTTGGAAGGGGAAGTGGAAACCCTAAAACTTTATTGCCGTCGTCGTCGTCGTCGTCGTCCATACATCGTTCAAAATCCGATTGCTACTGAAAAATTGTTGCTTGTGCGGTGGTGGTAGTGGCAGCCGCGGCGGAGGAGGACGAGGCGGTGGCGGTGGCGGCATCGGCGAATGTTACCCTGTCGTCGCTGAGTCAAGGCTTATTTATTCTCATTCTTTTATTTCTCGTCAATTAGCGTACATCCAAATAAGAGAAGAAGGAATGCCTTTTAAGTTTTAATTTAAATAAATTGCTGCCCTCTTTATTAATTTAATATATAAAAAAATAGTTGTTGTTCACTTATTACTAACGCACTACAAGTGTTAGTCGTATTTTATAAGCTGTTACAAAATTAATAAAAATAATTTGTTATTAATACTAACAGATAACTTGCGGTTCTAACGGATAAAAATCGTTAGAAATTTCTAACGGTATATATCTGTTAGAAATAGTATTTTTTTACTGTTAGAAAATACCTACGTACTTCTTTTCTACCGTCGATGTACTTTCTGTCGTTCACCAGCAATCCTAATACGTAGCATGCGTCCCTAAGGGTAGGGTATAACTTCTCATTCACGTTTCTAATGTCTTAGCTCATGCATTCAACTTGAATATTAAGCAACAACCTCAGGTAGTAATCTTCTCCCTTCCATTGAGGAACTATATTCATTTTGCCAACGGAAAAGCCTATTTTCCTTGGTTCCCACGACATCGACTCATCATAATAAACGAAATGTTGTAGGAAATCCACATACTTGATTGTCCTGGCATGTGGATATCACTTGTTTGCCTCAAACTAGGCCGAGAACATGCTCTGTTTAGCAGACGGTCTGTTCACCACATTATGAAAATGTTGATCTTCGTGGAACACAACCATCTGGCAATCGAGGAAGTGGAAACTCAAACTAATCACATGGGTTCTCTATGGTGAATATCAAACCAAAACAACTTCTAACTGGCCTCACATGCTGATAGGTATTTGCAAAAATGAATAAGATCCAAGTGAAATTAATTCAAATTTAGTTAAATCGGTGCAAAATAAATTTTCATGTACAAAGTAATTTTTTGTGTATGTGCGAAAAAACACATTGATAAAAGTTTTTGTTGGAAACATATTAACAATAATGGTGAAATAATTAACCACCTTACTAATAAATATACCTGCAGTCGTAGTACATCTTTATCTCATCGAGCACTCTTTGACCCTTGTTTGTATTATACGATTGAAAAAATGCAGTCGTAACTCGATCATGGCCCTTGTTGATGCATATGAACATATACTTGATTGATTTTTTCTGGTTACAAAGCTCGATGTTGATGTGAGCCCTGTATTTGGTTACAAAGCTCGATGTTGATGTGGCTCTGCATTTCAGCAGCATTGCACGATTATATGGAACAACGAATCCATTGTCCAATATCGTTTCTTTTAATATGTAGTATAGAATAACAACCCCCTATCTCTCTCTCTCTCTCTCTCTCTCTATATATATATATATATATATATATATATATATATATATATATATATATATATATATATATATATATATATATATATATATATATATATATATATATATATATATACTGAGTATACTTGTGTTGGAGTAATTTGAGTATTACATTATATATTGCATTTGACAACCTGTGAAGGTATATGTCTAGGTATATGATATTGTATTACCTTTTAAACAAAATTTGCAGAAGCAATTTTAGCAAATTATTGTGGTCGTTATAATCAAACATTGCATTAAATCAAAGAATGGGAATACAAAAAGAATAGGAAATACATAGTTGATCAGGTAATCTATTCAGCAGGCAATGCAAAATAATTAAGGGGTAATGGCAAATAGGCCCATGACAAGGGCACTTAATTAAAAGAGGGATATCTAACTTTTTTGTCTTGCAAATAAATCCAGCCCATTCAAACTTATTTGCAAGTAAGGAAAATCCTTTTATATATACCAAAATTACCCCCAATTCATTAAAACCCAATTTAACTCCAATTTCATGATTTACACCCCAATTTAGCCCAATTTCATCAATTAACCAATTTCAACTATAATTTCAATTTTGACCCGCCACCACCAGAGACCTCCGGCGTTGACTTTTTTTTTTTTATATAATTTGTTTTTTCTTAAAAATAATATTTTAATTAATATTACTATCTTGGCTGCTAAATTACTATCTCCGGCAGTTATTTAACTGTCGGAGACAGTAATTTAACTGTTAATTGACTCTTTTGTTTTTTTTTTCTTCAAAAATATTTTAATTAATATTATTGTATTCGTTGCTAAATTACTGTCTCCAACAGTTATTTAACAGACAGTAATTTAACTGTTAATTGACTTTTTTATTGTTAAAAAAAATATTTTTAATTAATATTACTGTATTCGTTGCTAAATTACTGTCTCCGGCAGTTATTTAACTGTCGGAGATAGTAATTTAACTGTTAATTGACCTTTTTTATTTTTTTTCCTTAAAAAAATTATTTTAATTAATATTACTGCCTTGGATGTTAAATTACTGTCTCCAACAGTAATTTAACTGTCTTAGACAATAATATTAATAATATTATTGTTCGGAATAATAATATTCATAATATTACTGTCCCAAACAGTAATATTACTGTTTGAGACAGTAATTTAGTAGCCAAGACAGTAATATTAATTAAAATATTTTTTTTCTAAGAAAAACAATTAAAAAAAAAAAAAAGTCAACGCCGGAGACCAGCGGTCAACGGTGGTTGACCGGTCGGAAAAAAATTTCAGGAAAAAAAAATTCAAAAAAAAAAAAAAAAAAAAAAACGCTGGAATCTGGCCGGAAAAAAAAAAACATTTCAGAAAAAAAAATATTTTATGAAAAAAAAAGTTTTGGAGGTTAATGTGATATATTTATTTAAATCCGGGGTCAATGTGTAATAATAATGAAGTTAGAGCATAATGGGTGGAATTGATAAGAATTATATTATTGAGGGTATTTTAGACTAAAGACATTGGGATGTGCTTAATTGAGAGACTGTTTTTTTTATGGACCAAAATGTATTTAAGTCCCATATTTATATATGTTAAAATATAAAAATAGTTTACACAACTAAAACAAATAAATAACTAAACTACATATGATGAACTTGTTGAAACTCTATTGAAATTTTCATAACAAACACACTATTTGAAATAAGTCGACTTATGTTTATTAACATCGATACTTAGTCACCGGTTCACAAAAAAACGAAGAAGCAAATAATATTTGTTTTTTTAAATTAGAACTATTAATTTCTCCATGCAATACCCCACATATGACATTCCTCTATAAATTTCGGCACATAAATCTTTTCGCAAATAACATGATTTGACCATATTGAATCCATTAATCAATGAATATCCTCTTGCATATTCTCAGATTCATAAATTTACATTCTATTCATTTGGTAAAAAAACACAATATATTAATAGATTAGAAAGCATTTAACGAATTGAAGTCAATCAATCACAATAACAATAGTATAGAAGTGACAGTTACCCACATATGGTGAGTAAAAAATCAAAAAAATATAACACTAATAAAGGAACAACAATGATATACATAAGAATGATTACAGGACAAACAAACCAAAGCAACAAAAATGAAAAATTAAAAATGTGATGCTCGGGGTTCACCTTCAAAACAAATAACAACACTACGTTAATTGAATGGTTATTTTCGTATATTTGATTATAATTTATAAAATCAAACAATCGAATTTTTTTTTACGAGCATGTCAAGAGTTCTGTAGTTTGATGCGGCTAGGGTGTGAAGAAATAAATGAAATTTGTAGCATTTTTATAGTGTTTTAGATGAGATGTAAGAATATTTTTTAGGTGTAGATAAATCGAGAAATTATATTGTTATTGTTAATAATATAAATAGGTTATGAATGATAAAATTTACGGATGGCGGCCGTTATATGCAAGCCCATTTTTTTATTAGGTCAAAACCACATAAAGGAGTTTATTAGTTTAAGCCCGTAAATTAATCTAATTTTATTACATCAAGACCAAAGATGACAAATATACCCTTATCCACAAATAATATTCAAATACAAATAAATCTTATTTTTAATTTGTTCAAGACCAAAAAAAAAAAAAAAAAAACAAAACAAAACAAAACAAAAAAGAAATATCACGACTGCCAAATATTAATCTATGCTAAACATGTATGAATGAACATTAATCTATGCTTATTTCTTATTGGGTTGCAATGATTTGGTCGATTTTGGAAAAAAATTGAGATTGAAATTGGTTTTTTTAATTTTTTTTCGTTGGTCTCCCAAATCGGTTTATCCAGACCGATTTTGTACACGAAAATCGGCGTCATAATACCGATTTTTGTTAACCAAATCGGCGACAGAACGTCGACTTTACAAGTCAAAATCGGCGTTCTAATGTCGATTATTGAGTACAAAATCGATTTTTGAATACCGATATTTTTTGAATTTTTTTTAAATAATACATTATATATTTGGTTAATTGATATTTTTTAAATATTTGAAACGAAAATGTTTATCACCATTCGGTCGCGTCTACCACTCCTTTAACCCAATCGAGTAGAGCTTTCCGTATCTCAAATATTTATTCGTTAGATAATTCATTTGAATAATCCTCCATCAATCCCCTAGGTTGATGCACGAAAGTATGAGAAAACGGTCTTAAAAAAACACAGATAATAAAATCGGTATTTAAAAACCGAATTTTGTAGTATAAGTCGGCATGACAATACCGATAATACAAAAATAAATCGGTGTTGTCATGCCGATTTTTAATACAAAAATCGGTATTTTTATTAAAATAATCGGAATGTGGTTACCGACTTTAGTAACAAAAATCGGTATTTGCAGACCGATTTTTTGTATCGTCAATTTTTTTTCGCAACAAAAAAAACGACCCAAAAGCAAAAATAAACGGTTAAAACATATTTCATTGTGTTCTCCACCCTCGTAAACCACCATATCATTGTTTTCTGGTTCCATCGTGAATATTTGGTATGTATTTGATAATTTTGGTGTGTAGGATTTCTTGGTGGGTTTGTGAAGAAGAAGGGGAAGAAGGAGGAGAGTTTTAAGTCGTGAAATAAGGAAGATGAGTTTCTGAATTTATGTATTTTATTTGGTATTGCACAAAAGAAATGTTTATTTTTTATTTTTTAATGCTTTGTGCTTTTTATTTGATTTTAAATTTCATTAAGGGTAAATTAGTATTTTTATGTTGGATGTCTTGAACTAATAAAAAAATGGGCTTGCATATAACCGTCGCCTTTACAGAGTGATTGCTAAATCGTATGGGAAAAAAAAAATGGAAAGAATAATTAATTGATTAAATTCAGTTAACAGTGATTAATATTTAATTATTATTCACATAAATGATTAATTAGAGATCCCTGAATTTATGATATTG